CAGGTTGTCGACACACTAAGGCATGCCAGGTATACACCCACAGTACTAATAAGCGTTCTCAAGTGGAGATAGAAAATAAAGTCAATGGTAATTCTACATCAATTTCACCTGACATTAAAAAAAAAAAAAAATTAAAGAAACTAATCTGGGTGATAGCGCAACCACACCAGGTTGTCGACACACTAAGGCATGCCAGGTATACACCCACAGTACTGGCATTCAGATCGAATGTTCCATTACCAATTAAAATGCCTCTCAAATATGACATTTTGAGCTCCTCTACTTATTTCAAAAGATTCTTAAACATGAATTTCAGTTATCCCTCAATCAAACCAGGCGTGTGGGACACGAGAGCACTCCAGGTATCCAACCAGACCACCCTCATTCGGATCTGATGTCGGCCTCTGAAAAGTGACAAGATGGCCTGCGTTCTGACATGACCTTCATTCTAACATGTTGGTTGATCTTTTCGCCCATTTTTACAACATCCTAAAAGAAGGAATACAGCACCCGGCTCTCCACCCAGACCACCCTCGTCCGGATCCGATGTTGCATTTTGAAATAAAAGGCCTCTGAAAACTGGCATGTTGACCTGATTTCTGACAAGTTGGCCTGTAGGTCTGGGGGTAACTACAGCCCTCCGGCTATCCAACCCGACCACTCTCGTTCGAATCCGATGTTGCATTTGGGAATAAAAGGCCTCCGAAAAGGGAAACTATGACCTTATTCCCGACAAGTTGATCTGAATGCCTAACATGTTGACATTTTCGACCGTTTTGAAAAAATTTCTAAAAATTAAACCTTCGTTATCCCGTGAGGGCTGTAGGTCAGGGGTTAACTACAGCCCTCCGGCTATCCAACCCGACCACTCTCGTTCGAATCCGATGTTGCATTTTGGAATAAAAGGCCTCTGAAATGGGAAAATATGACCTTATTCCCGACAAGTTGGCGTTCACCTTGTCGGGAATAAGGTATTATTTTCTCTTTTCGGAGGCCTTTTATTCCCAAATGCAACATCGGATTCGAACGAGAGTGGTCGGGTTGGATAGCCAGGGTGCAGCAGTTATCCCCTGACCTACAGCCGTCACGGGATAACAAAGGATAAATTTTTAGGAATTTTTTCAAAACGGTTTATAAATGTCAACATGTTAGGCGTTCAGATCAACTTGTCGGGAATAAGGTCATATTTTCCCATTTCGGAGGCTTTTTATTCCCAAATGCAACATCAGATTCTAACGAGAGTGGTCGGGTTGGACAGCCGGAGTGCTGTAGTTATCCCCTGACCTAGAGCCCTCACGGGATAACGAAGATTCAATTTTAAGGAATTTTTTAAAAACGGTTTAAAATGTCAACATGTTTGGCGTTCAGATCACCTGTCGGGAATGAGGTATTCTCTTTTCGGAGGCCCTTTATTCCCAAATGCAACATCGGATTCGAACGAGAGTGGTCGGGTTGGATAGCCGAAGGGCTGTAGTTACCCCCTGACATACAGCCCTCACGGGATAACGAAGGTTCCATTTTTTGCAATTTTTTCAATACGGAGGCCTTTTATTCCCAAGGTATTATTTTCTCTTTTCAGAGGCCTTTTATTCCATCATGCAACATCGGATTCGAACGAGAGTGGTCGGGTTGGATAGCCGAGTGCTGTAATTACCGTCTGACCTACAGCCCTCACGGGATAACGAAGGTTCAATTTTTAGACATTTTTTCAAAACGGTCAAAAATGTCAACATGTTAGGCATTCAGATCAACTTGTCGGGAATAAGGTCATATTTTCCCTTTTCGGAGGCCTTTTATTCCCAAATGCAACATCGGATTCGAACGAGAGTGGTCGGGTTGGATAGCCGGAGGGCTGCAGTTACCCCCAAACCTACAGGCCAACTTGTCAGAAATCAGGTCAACATGCAAGTTTTCAGAGGCCTTTTATTTCAAAATGCAACATCGGATCCGGACGAGGGTGGTCTGGGTGGAGATCCGGGCTGCTGTATTCCTTCTTTTAGGATGTTCTAAAAATGGGCGAAAAGATCAACATGTTAGAATGCATGTCATGTCAGAACGCAGGCCATCTTGTCACTTTTCAGAGGCCGACATCAGATCCGAATGAGGGTGGTCTGGTTGGATACCTGGAGTGCTCTCGTGTCCCACACGCCTGGTTTGATTGAGGGATAACTGAAATTCATTTTTAAGAATCTTTTGAAA